AATGGAATCTCAGAATTCCACAAGGAGCCTACACCCACCCAAGAACAAAAATAAAAATAAAAAAGAGAAAATCAACTCAAAACTTGCCAGGACGAGAAAAGAGTTCAAAAGGTTTAACCTGTGTTGCAACAAGATTGACATCTCCATTCTCAAACATTAATACGCCTTTAGGCTTTATCCACTTGGGATGAGCAACACCATTTAACTCAAGTTCTCCACTAACAGCAAAATTGAGAATTAGAGGATAAACTATCCTCAGTTCTGGTCCCAGAACAAGTTTCAGGTCACTGAGGCGGATATCCAGCTTAGGTTTGCTTTCTACTTGGACGCTTTCCTTAATATCTTCAGCATCTTTACCTGCATATTACAAAAATTGGATTTAACATTCGTAATAATGAACCCAGCAATATCACCTCATCTTAAGCAAGAAAGTCAAAAAGCCATAGGCAGCTGCTGGACCATTTGATGTCAAGTTTTGACGCCACAACACGTGAAAATATTCCCACATTTTCTTCAAAACCAAAGCAAAACACCTTGGGAAATTGAGACAGCAGTATATCTTAGTACATAGTTTTCGAAACCAAACACAGGTGTTGGGCTCCAAATCCAACTTGGAAAACCCAGTTGATCTGTGAGATTCTCGGTTTTAGTTTCTGATTTCCAAAATTTTGAATTTGGTCCCATTTCTTTTTTTTTTTCACTTAGGCTTTCACATTTATAAACTGAATTTTCTTTTGCTTACCGGCTGCATGAGCCTAATAGCTGAACAGCCCTTCTCCTTTTTTCTATTCAGCTATTCAAATATAGTTCTTTTTTTAGCAAATAGAGATATTTTCTGATCATTCTCGTAACTATTAACATATGAAAGCGTCTACAACACTTTAAGGTATTGATAAATGGACCTTGGGCCTAACTCAACCCCAAAAGCTAGCTTATGAGGTGAGGGTTACCCAAGACCATATAAGGAGACCAAGGACCTCAAATCCCACCGATGTGGGACAACTCAACAGGTATTAGTGATAATCTATATTATATTAAAAGCACGAAGGCCCTAAGCGAAATGTCGTTCGCCTTTTTTATCCTTTAAAAATAGAGTTCACACGGGACAAAATAGTCATTTGATTATCGTCCTAATATTTAGTATTTTGAAATCTATTAAAATTTTA